GCTGTACGTTTGGTGCCAGTAAAAATTAGTGTTTTATTATCTTTTTGATCCATAATACGTTCGAGGTGTTTGACTAACCTATAATGACAGAAAATAAAGTAATACGTTTAATAAATAAATTGAAAAGTACAAAGATATTGATCTTACGTTAGAATAAATTTCAAGAAATATAACTTTACTTATTTCGTTTTTCATGCTCGGTACAAATCTCAACAGTTTGAGAAATGTTATGACTTGCCGACAAATCTAAGGAACCAATATTTACTTGAATGAAATCATGAAGATAATCTTCTGCGAGGCGCTTGACTTCTTTTGGCCAAGTAGCACTCCACATAAGGGTTTGTCTATCAGGTCTGATTTGTTCAACGATCTTTCGAATTTGTGGCTCAAATCCCATATCTAGCATACGATCAGCTTCATCCAACACAAGATATGTCACCCTACGAAGATTGGTTCGTCTTGATTCTAACATATCGATTAATCGGCCAGGTGTAGCAATACAAATCTCGACACCATGAGAAAGTTCACGCGCTTGAGGACCTTTAGGAACACCACCATAAACGCAAGTATTTTTGATCTTCGATGACCTGCCGAATTTTGTGCATTCTTGTTGGATTTGCACAGCTAATTCACGTGTTGGCGCAAGAATAAGAACAATAGGTCCATCACCGGGTTGAAGAAAGGGTTGCGCATTTATATGAACAATGGCAGGCAAGCAGTAAGCCAAGGTCTTCCCGGATCCAGTTTCAGCAATACCCACCACGTCACGACCAGAAAGTGCCATTGGCCATCCCTGTGATTGGATTGGTGTTGGAGCGGTAAAACCTAGATCGAGAATTTCGTTTAAGACGTAGGCTATTAAACAAAAAACGGTTAGAATAATGAAATGTTATGTAATGAATAAAATATCATATCAAAAGATTTTATATATACCTGGAAAGTTGGCTTCATCAAAAGTTTCTACTGGTTTTGGGATATCAAGGCCAAAGACTTTCATGTCGTGTTTTTTCCGATATTCGTCTACTTCTACTTGAGAGCGTGAAATGACATTGATATGTTCGCGATAAAAGTTCTTTTCAAACTTTGGAAGTTTTGAGAAATCCCAATCCTGTTTTGTCAAACCTGATCCAAGATTTGACATACGATCATTTTGGTGCGTTGAATTACCACTGGGTCGATAACTAGAACTGGCATAACGCTCACCACTACTCCCATATTTATCATATCCAGGGCTGCGTTCTCTATAATGCGAACTGCCACGAGAATCATATCTAGAAATTTTTTTTTTTTAAAAAAAAAAAATGTAAATATAACTGATCTCAAATAAAAAACATTAGTTGTTATGTATCTCTTTTTTTTTTGTTATTTTTGACAATGCATAAAGTTTGATATTTTTTTGACATGATATATTATTTAAAACAAATAAATTATAATAATTAACGAGTATCTTTCTCGACATAGAGTAACTTACTCCTTTCGATCTCTTCGACTGCGGTCATCATAGGAACGATCTACTCCACGGTCATTACCATAACGTGAGGACGAAGTATAAGATGAGCCATAATTTGATGAGTTTTTATATGAGGAACTACCATTTCCATAAGATGACGATGGCGGAGGTGCACTACCGCTGCTGTAAGTTGTGGATGTGGTAGCAGGTGCGCTATAGATCGTTCCTGGTGGGGCGGGGACTCCTGGAGCACCATAATTTGTGTAAGACATATTTCTATATGATTATAATAAACACGGTAAAAAAAATTTAGGGAAAAAAAAATTATTATTGAGCTTTAAATAATTTTTTTCTTAAACTAGTACAGCCAATCACAATGCAATGATATTAGGAATTATAGGCCACGTCATTATAGAATAACCTTATTATTCATCGGTTGGCTCAATGTCACAAGAAGCTAAAAGTTAATGTTTTGCTATTGATATATACAAAGTTAAGAAGTAGTTAGCCCACTATTATCTTTTTAATTTATTACCGTTTGCACTGTTCAGAACATACCCATAAAATAACTTTCCTCAAGATCCGGTGTTATTACCATACATATTAGCCTAGTTTTTTAAACAATGGAGTATAACTATATTAGTTTATTACTTTTCATGTAAATTGTATCCAAATATGGTGCTTGGTTCTATATAAAGTATGGGTACTATTTAAAAATGGGTTTGAATAAGACTCTAGCTACTATAAGCAAAACGATAAATTAATTTCTTCTATAACGATACTTGCATTATCATCTTTCAAATTAATATTTCTACTATTTGTTTTTTTTTTTTATTGTGATATCAAATTGATTAAAATTTTTAAAATTCATATATCAAATATATGTAGATAGAACATGTTTTAATAAATGTTATACAGTACTTAAAATATGTATACAGTATACACATTTTAAATTCTCTAGCATTTAATAATCTTAAAAGTTTTACTTTCTTTACTCAAAGCAATTATATGATTGGTTAAAATGATTTTTTAAAAACATGAGTATTTACAAATTTGCTGTTACACAAATATTGCTTTGTGATTAATTTGCAAATCTCTGTTTCACGTCTTTAACCCAAATATCTAACTACAAAAAATTGACATTACAACCTTTAATTAAAAATGCAAAAAATCTTCGCTTAATAAATCCTTTGATCTTTAAAAAATCATTTTAACCAGTCATATATAACAATTGCTTTTGGTTAGAATATTTTTACAAAGGTTGTAAAGACAAAAAATACATCAATCTTTCTTGAAACTATTTGAGATTAAAGATTAAAACTTTAAATCAAAATTAAATGATTGTTTTGTATAAATTTACACATAAAGTTCGAGTGTGTCAACTCCTTTCTTTCCTTATTTCCAGACGTCATTGCTCCAGTTATTTTTCTCTAAAGAGGTGCTAAGATAACTCGATCGATTTATCGCAAGAGGGTCATCAATGTCGTTGTTATTTTCGACTTCTTGTTGATTAACTATACTTATCGGCAATGTGCGAGGCACATCCCTAGGTACTATTGGTTCTTGAATAAACGGATCTCTTGCTAATATGGATTCATATGGTTGCATTATTGATGTTAAAGGTGATCCGTGAGGTGAAGTTGTAATCGAATCAGCAAAGCTCTCTAATCTTTTTCCCTTTCCATCTTTTACTTCCCTAACAAGATCCACACAACCATCTCGGAAAGGTGGAACATTAGAACTACTGAAATGTTGTTGTTTACTTTCAGATTCAACATTGTTATCATCATCATCATCATCATCATTTCCAATTTCAAAATGAATATTTTTGGCTTTACCCTTTCCTTTTAGTCTTAATCTCCTTTTGGACATGGTCCTCTTTCTTTGTGGTTTCGGAGGTGGTGGATTCTGGAACCTATACCGATTCGAATCAATTACAGGAAAGTTATAATCCCCATATTCCCCCAATTTCCTACTGTGGTCATACATATGTTCCACTTCATGATTCGGATCAGGGTCATGAAAATTTAAACTATTTCTATCATCATCCATTTGCCTAGAAAGCAAAGGTGTAGTAGAATTTGGGCCAGGAAGCCAATATTTACCAGCGCCACCACCAGTAAATCGTAATCCAGCCATTATTCGCGCTGTTCTGCTTGGACCAGTATGTGCCATGCCTTCAGCCGGTTCAAAGGTTCTATAGTTAAATCGTGAACCTCTAATCGTTTCTAACGTATCCTCGATCACATCTCTAAATCCCATACAATCTTTGAAAGCATATTTAATAGGCATACGGCCTGATCGGTAACTAGGATCGGCATAGTCCTTGTATGAAAAAGCGTACCTGCGATTTTACAAATACTAAACAATATTATTAAATCGTTTACAGTATGTCATATCATTAAATAAAGCATACCAATGTGCAAATGCAGCAATCAACATTTCAAAAGTTATCAGAAAGTCTTGAATTGAAACTGATATGTTTTGCGCTGAATTTGATTCGGCTATAAAAAGAACATTAATAATTAGAATCATTTCTATAATTTGGTTCGGGCGTAAAATAATGAAGTGAACCGTACTGTCACGAATAATTCCAAGATATACAAGTATAGAAAGTGCAAACCCTTGCCAAAAAGAAAAGAATATCACGGATTTTACGCAAAGAAATTTCGGTATAGGTCTATTATATTCGACAATTATCAATCAATATAATAACTAATATAGTATTTAAAAACAAAAAATAAACACCTATGACTCACCGATATGGCTTTAGATCTTCTTTGGTACAAACGTAAAAAATGATCAAACAGTAAAGGCATAAGAAGCAGCTCACGTTATATATCAGAGATATCCATATATAACCATTTGTAAGTTCAATAAGACCTTCGTCATACATATTTGACCACTTTAGAATCATGGTGCTGATAGCTAACACCGGTTTTATATATACATATTGAAGAATACCACGCTTCAAAAAGAGGAACGTATAAGGATCACCAACATCCATTTCTTTGAAAAAAAGATTGACAGGAAAAAGATGTGAAGTTGGTGGACGACCATGTAGTAGGGTTAAGAGAGCTCGTTCTCCGCCAATATAATTTACTAAAAGATTAAAAAAGCAGTAGATCACAAATGCCTATAGATAGATATAAAACGTAATTAATACGTAATATTTAATGCCTAAACAAATTTTGGATCAAGTTGGTTGTGGTCCTTACCTCATACATATCCCTTAAACAATCAACATAGAAGGCAGCATTTGTTGAGGTCAAACTAATCCAAGAAGAAACAGCGTAAATTGGTACCCTATTAACGTTTATGTATTACAGCATAGGAATTAACAAAAAAAACACGTCGCATTGCATAAAATTAACATGTCATGATCTCACATTAATATAATTCGCACCACATATCGCTGTATTAGCTAAAGGAATACGGAAGAAATAAAAGTCAATGCACACAACGAAAAGAGCGCCAAGTTAAGTACGAACAGAGCTAAGAACACAAATACATACCGGTTTTTTGTAATGTTTGAGGTGAGACCATACAGAAATCGCTGACAAAAGAGTGGCCGTTATAGCAAAAAAACCAGCAACCGCCCTAATGGTAGCACTACTCTTAAAGTTATCTGAAGATCCACCACCCGTATCATAACCTTCTTGTGAAAGCGGTATCAGTGTCTCGTTAAAAGTGAATGACATTAGCAACTAAATTCCCTACAAATGTAGTATTTACTACGGAAAGAAATGATTAAAAATTAAACGAGATTATAGCTACAAAGGTTACAAATCATGACATTATATTTCGGAGAATCGAACTTGGTTACATTGATTGGCCATCTATTGCGCTGCATAATTCTATTTTTGGCGCAGCCTGCTCAACAGAATAGGAACTGGAAGCTTCTAATCAATTGAAATTCTAACAATATTGTGGATAATTTGAACATTTTATTTTAACAAAGTAAATGCATAGCATTGTGCTACTACTAATTTGTATGATAATAATTCATACAAGAAGATTCGGGTCGGAATACATTTTGGCCAATTTTGTCCAAGATCATAAAAATTTTACTAATGGAATCGTATTCCATTCATACATAATTCTGCTGTCAGACTTGACCGGCTAGTATAACCGGAGTAAATTCATCTAATCTAATATTAATACTAAAATTTTTTTTTTCTAGATCACATGCAAATGATATACAAATGCTGAAGGCATTAGAATCTGATAGAGTGCCGTTTATTACGTAATTTTAAAAGAAAAAGGCAAGACTTGAATGTGTGACAGGTTATGCAAATTGATCAACATCGGCCTATATTTAAACTGATTTTAAAAGGGTTAGATTGAGAGGAGCTAAAAAAAAAAAATAGATATAATTTATACCAAAATTATGAGTAGAAACTTTTTTCTCAGAGCACCAAGAGCGGTTTTATAGGCAAAATTATGAAATAAAAAAAAATTTTCAATCAACCCGTCACACATTCAAGACATGCAAGAAAAAGAGGGGGTTACGTAGTAGTTTATCACGTCTATATTTGTATAAGGTATTAAAATTATTACTATATACTATATAGATACTGTATATACAGTATATACGGTATATATATACATATATGAATACAGTCAGACCTCCCTAAATGCAAGTCGTCGGGACCAGTTCTAGAGCGTGCATTTAGGGAGGGTTGCAATTAGAGAACACTAATAAAATAATAATGTTACTATTATCATGTGATAAATATAGCTTTAG